TCATTGAACCTAAATACATGTAACTATTATGTAGGCAATTCAGCAAATTGCTGCTTCACAAGCTAACCAAACTGCCACCTCACGAGATTTGCATAAACAAACTACAAAATTTATAAAGGGGCCAAGTGTGACTGTTGAAGGAGTGTACAGAAGAAAAGGAGGCTTGTTGGCAGAAGCTACCATCAGAATGCAAGGGCGGATGCAGGGAGGAAGATTTATACCATCTAGGTATACAGATATAATTTTAATGAGAACAAAGGTAAGGTTACTTCACTCAATTCATGTATTTTCATTACACTTGAGTACTTGACCTATGCTAATTCAACACTTTATTTAATTTAAATTTGTAGTCCATTCAAGACCACCAAAGTACTATACCAACCAGAAAGTGAATGCTAACATCAACTATTCTCATATTGCATCAAATGCTCCCTCAACAGTTATACAAGATGCTCCCTCATATGCTCCATCAAGTGTTACACAAGCTGCTACCGCGCATACTCCATCAAGTGATCCCTCAACTAAGTAATTTGATGCTCCCCCACAACCACAAGGACACTCTGCTTATCAACATGCATATCAAGCTATAAAAGGAGTTTCCTTCACAACACAGAACCAAAATCCCCTCTAGGAAGCTCGCGAGTTCCACTCAACCACTGCCTACCGCATCACATTTGATAGCACTGATCACTGCTATAATAAAGGTAAGGATTTGAAATATAAATGCTAACCAGACCAAATATTACTTGCATGTTGCCATAATTTAACACATCGTGTATGTTTGTGCATTTTTTGTACTCGTGTCCTGGCTATTGATGATCAACTAGCAAAACAAAAGGATGATGGCAAAGATTAGCATAAGGAAACATGTTTTCTTTTTATGTGTGTGAAAAATGTTTTTGTGTCACTATATGGATTTTTGTCTTGGTATATGTATCTATGAAACAATGTTAATATCATGGTATATGTATGTATTTGTGTTAAGTAGAAGCTTTATGGACAGTGAGTATGTTTATGAAGAAATATGCCATGTTCTGTGCCATTTGTTTTCGAGAAAGCAATCAAAATCTTTTGATCATATATATTACAGGTTTGAATATCAGAAAAAACAAGCAGGATTCTGGCAATTTTTTTAAAATAGGGAGAGAATTATGTGCATAAGCTTGTATATGAGCAATCATAGCAAAAACAAGGTAAATTTCATCAAATTATAAATCTACAACAACCATAATACAACTTCTCAATAATACTTAAACCCTTCAAACAAGATGAACAACGATATGCTTACAAGCTTCACTTCACCACTCCAAATTTCACACCACTTCAATACGAAGGAAAACTTCACAAAAATCCTCACAATTATGACTAAAATAGCCTTAGTTTTCCCTCTTTTTCTCTCAAAAATACCTCATAATTTCTCATTTCTCTCTCTGATTCTCAAATTGTCTTCAAGCTCAAGCAATCTCAACTCTCTATTCTTCGACTGTTGCTTCCTTTCTCTCAATTTCTCTTTTAATAAAACCAAAATTTGCCCATCCTAATTCTTCAAATCATATTTAATTTCCTCATTCTCACGTAGCTCGTTGCTCACAAATTGATCTTAGGGACGAAAATGTTTATCTTTCCGTCCAAAATACCTTCACTTAGATCCAGTCCTAAAATTGGGCAACTAAAAAACCCCTACCATAATTTTGTTGCTCCAAGCTGTTTCAAGGGGGGCCATATGCTGAGAATAGCATGTCCGTACATCTCTATCATCATCTATTGCAATGTTTAATGCGGAACTTGAATGTCTTAAGCTTAGCTTCATGTTGTGCTAGAGGAGACAATATCAATTCGATAGACTTAGGTCTGTTACATTGGAGGAGGAAGAAGAAACATATAAGATAGGGTAGTTGATGTAACTTTAATGCATATCAGGGATATTGAATGATCAGATTGCTATGTGTCGTGCGGAAGCGTGCTCGATAACCAAACGAGTTGGTGAGCGATGAGAGAAGAGAACCAAACCAAATTACGAGTGCAATTCACCAAAATACGACACAAATCAAACCGAACACAGGAATTTACGTGGTTCAGCAATTGTCTACGTCCATAGGGAGAGGATTGGGAGATTTTACTATATGGAAGAGAAATACAATAGGTTATAACTCACAAAATTACTCAAACATAACTCTAACCAAAGCTCTCAACTCCCTCACAATATCTCCCTCTCAAAGTGCTCAAAACAATGCTAATTCTCTCCTTAAGAAACCCTAAAAACGTGTTTCTATTTATAACAAAACACAATCCCAAACATGGTGGGAATCTAAAAACGAGTATGTCACACATGGGTGCGGCACGCACCATATCCCTAACAACAGGGGCAGATTCTGTCATACATGTGTGTGACAGACACCACACCCCTACCGAATCTTCATGTTTGCCAACACTTTGAACAATTTGACGCTGTTTTCTATAATTCTCCACCTCGGTAAAGTGTTACCAAAACTGAGCCGACACCAACATGAGCACTAATGCGTCGTCTCACTAAATATGACTGCACCAATGTGATTGCCAACGTATCCCGTCTCTCAAGGGATCAAGTAGTCCGTAGTTCATCCAAATGCCCACCAACGACCTCAACAATCATGAATTTACAATAAGTTTCTATAATGATCGACCTTGTTGCTCGGAACCACCTTTGTGAGCATATATGTTGGATTGTCTTTTGTGTGGACCTTCACGAGCTCCACATCCCCATCTTCAATAACTTCTCGAATCTCATATATGGGTCAGAGGGCTAGTACTTGACTTGAAGGCGCCCCCCGGGCAGGTTTACGGGGACCCGATTATATACATCAAAATATTCTTTCCCAATTTAAATAACATGTAAAACAAGAATAATATGTTTGCGTACTTTATGGTGAACTTTGTTAGTTTTGTTGAGATGTAGACCAGTGTTCTTCTTTTCATACATAGATCATGGTTAATATTTAATTATCTACAATTTGAGACATATGGTATATACATGAGGGTTTCCTTGTTTGGATTATTTTGCTCGACGTACTACGTCTCATGTTGTAGATTTTTAAGTATTAATTCCATCTATTGTAGGCCCCTGTTACTTGGATGATTAGACTGATTGCTTGCTACATGATCTCGTTACCTGATCGATTCTGGATGCTTTATGTTATCATGATTTAGTAGTGTTTTCATGTCGATTCTGGATGCTTTATGTTATCATGATTTAGTAGTGTTTTCATGTTGATTTGTGGATTTCAGTTGTATGTTCTAGTGTTTTCATGTTGATTTGTGGATTTCAGTTGTATGTTCTTTTGTTATTTCTGTTATCGTATCGTTTTCCGCATTGGATTTCCGTTCGTTCTATTTTCTTTGTGGGGTCGGGTCTTACCGTGTGCCATACATGCTAACGTACACCTGTTTTCTCTGGTGTACGTCAGACTTATAGAAAGAATAGGTCCAGGTGGGAGATCGTCAGGAGCCAGAGGATTCTCAGCAGGAGTGCTTTGCAGATCGAGCAGAAGAAGCCAAAGATTAGTTATCCCCTCTAGGTGTTCGATGGTCTTAGCTTACTTTTGTAGCATTTTCTTTTCCGTTTGATCATTGTACTTTATATTCTCCAGTATTTCATTCAGATAGCTTGTATAAGGGTATGTTGGACTCGTATTTTATGTCTTGGATGATATTCATTTGTGATATGTATTATTTTGTTCTGAGTTTGTCTATTATATTCTTGTTATCTGTGATCGGAGACTTGTGAGAAGAAAAAGAGAAAAAAAATGATAGTGTATATTTCTTTTCAATCTAATACGTCGCGGGCTTGTTCACGTTCCGATTCTCGAGTATTTTGGGAAGCGGGGCGTGACACTCAATTACAGACCAAGTTATTAGTAATTGCTGACCAAGGAAGTGATGAGTACTGAGTGCTGAGATTTTCCTTCTAGACTTGGTCATGGGTTTTGGACTTAGGCATTTTAACTTTAATTAGTTTTTGGGCTCGAGATAATCTTTATTTGAGCTCTTATTCATCCAACTTTATATTTCCTGAAAATGTGTTAATAATACTTAGTAGCAAATAAAATTATTCAAAAGGTAAAGGAAATAAGGGTATAAAATACAATAAAAATTGTTAATAAAAAATGTACCCAAGCACAAAAATAGAAATGAGTATTTCATTCTCACATTGATTCAATTCCATTCTTTACTTCATTCAATTCTCACTCAATTTCGATTTCTGCATATTAAACGAGACACAAGTATTTTTTTAATAAAACAATGTTGTTCTAACTCTTTGTGTTGGATCGCTCTTGAACTTGAGTGTTGTTCCAACACTCTTTTTGCCTTATTTTGTTGTTGTAAAAACCTTTTAGTGTTGCAACAACATTAAACCAAACAAGACATTTAAAATTTTAATATCGCTGGAACAACATGTGATTCCAACAGCACCAAACCAAGCACACTGTAATGAGCCTATATTAAGGGCATTATTAGGTGTTTTTTTTTCTTGTTGGAAAATGAGGCTCCCGGGCTCAAACTTAGGGCTTATAATAAATAGCAGAAATAGATAAAATTGTAACAAATGTGGCAACCCAATGAGACATTTTACACAGAGAATTTTATGTCATGAATTATACAGTGTTAGTTCTATTTGACTAACCCCCACGAAATTATCATTTTATGGTGGTAAATACATCAAACAGCCCGGGCTTAGAAGACTAGCCCAATCTAGGCCCAGGCTAGCCTGACTGCTTATACGGGCCCAGCCGGAAACAACATCCTGGACCCTCTCGATAACATCCAGCTTCAAATTCCGTCTTTAGACACCTAAACCCCCAGTTCTGTACTCCGAGTTCCCCCGAAAAAAAGCAAAAAAAAAAAAAAAAAAAAAAATGAAGTTTAGGGTTCTCCTCGATCGCTCTCCTTCCTCCTCAATCGCTTCAACTTCCATCGTCTCCCCTTCACTACCTCCCCCGCCAATCGCAGAGGTTTCTCACACTCCTCAAGCATCGCTAATGCTGGCGCGCAGCAGCAGCTCTCGAGGTCTTCTATCCTAGACCCTAACCCTAGCTCCAGCCTTTTCCTTGATTTGATGTTACTTTTAGTAAATACTATTGATTTTTGCAGGAAATTATTTTATTGTGCCGGGTGCTACAGCGGCGACCATTCTGATGCTCGGTGCGCTTCATGCAAGGCGTCTCTACGATGATAAGAAGGCAAGTTATCTTTGATTTATTTATATATCTGTTAAATTTTAGTTTGATCAAAGTAAGAAATTTTAGGAGTCATGTAAACTTTTCCATTTTAAAGGGTTATTTGCACTTCAATACCCCAAAGTTTCACCCCTTTTGACTTTGATACCCTGAAGTGTTGGGAAAAAAAGGGGTTTGATTGATTGACTTTCCCCATTCCTCTGTAAATAAAATAGATTAATAAGGCAAATCATAATAAAATAACCCAAAGAAATATTTAGCAGGATACAAGAATTTTTTAACGGGCAAAACCCTGCAACTGAATCTAGTCTAGAAAAATCTTCCACTATAAATATAATGGGTATCTAAAGTTTTCTCTCTACACACTTGGCTAGAGGTACACAAACAACAAACAGGACAAAAAAAAATTCCTCTACTCCGGAGAAGGAATACAAAAGATTAATATCCTTTCTTTTTTCTCTTTCACTCACTCAGGTTCTCTATGACTTGAGTTGCTTTGCCTGTTCTTGCTCACTCAGCTTGCTCTCCACTTCTAAATTGAATGCTATTTATAGCATCAGGACAGCCTCATTTTTCAAACAACGTGCACCACCCAACCTATTTTCGTTGATTTTGTGTCCATAAAAAAATGATGGGACCCACTTATCACTACATTCCCGTCTTGACCTTTAAAAGCCACAACAATTCTCCCCCGCTATGCTATTTAGAGAGGAAGTAGCAAGAACAAAACACCGCCGACTTTTCGCAGGAATTCTAGAAACAGATCAAAATCTAGAGGACATGTGGTAAAGTGCTACCATTGCCATAAGGAAGATCACATTAGAATAAATTGTAGGCAGTTGAAGAAGGAGCAGAAAGGAGACAACAATCATAATGATGACAACAACACGACCGTCACTATAGATGGCGAAGTGGCTCTTCTCACTTTTGGAGAAGAATGCTTGCACGTTGGAGATGATGATGCTGGCTGGGTGGTCGACACAATAACTTCATACCATGCAACACCCGACAAGGAGTTCTTCACATCTTACAAAGCCGGTGACTTTGGTGTTGTGAAGATGGGAAACACCATTTAATCAAATATTATTGGGATTTGTGATATTCATCTACAAACAGATGTTAGATGCATGATGACCTTAAAGGACACGCGACACATTCGTGATTTGCGCCTCAATCTCATATATGGGCTTGTTTTGGACCAGCTAGGCTACGAAAACTATTTCGGCAACGGAAGATGGAAACACACCAAAGGGATCTTTGGTATTTGCCAAAGAGAAAGCATCCGACACACTATACCGAACTCAAGCAAAGTTGTGCGCTGACAGCCTTAACACGGTGGAGGACAACTCTTCTCCTAATCTCTGACACAAAAGGCTAAGTCACATGAGCGAGAAGGCCTTGCAAATCTTGGCAAGGAAGGGACTAATTTCCTTAGTCAAAGGTATTGCTCTATACCTATGTGATAGTTGTTTATTTGACAAACAACATCGAATTGCATTCAGTAAATCTTCTCACAGAAAATCTAACGTGGTAGATTTAGTTTACTCTGATATTTGTGGTCCTATCGAAGAGAAGCTCTCGGTAGCAATAAATATTTGATATATCTAGGATATTATGGGTGTGTAACCTGAAAACAAAAGACTAGGTGTTCGAGTGTTTTCAGAAATTCTATGCTATGGTAGAGAGAGAGTGGGAAGCCTTTGAAGTGTCTCCGCACAGACAATAGAGGTGAGTACACATTCAAGCAGTTCAAAGGCTATTGTTCAAGAAATGGTATCCGACATAAAAAGACTACACTAGGTACTCCTCAACACAACGGTGTGACAGAAAGAATGAATCGCACAATCATGGAGAGTCCGAAGTATGCTAAAGAAGGCAAAACTTCCAAAGGTATTATGGGGAGAAGCAGTTCGCACGACGTACTATTTGATCAATCCATCTCCATCAGCTCCTTTATCATTTGATATTCCAGAGAGAGTATGAAAAAGAAAAAATGTCTCTTACTCATCTGAAGGTGTTTGGGTGCAAAGCTTTTGCACATGTTTCAAAGGAACAAAGATCGAAGCTTGATGACAAGGTGATTCTATGCATCTTCATTGGTTATGAAGATGAAGAATTCGGGTACAGGCTGTGACCCTATAAAAAGGAGAGTTATCAGAAACAAAGATGTGGTCTTTCATGAAGGCCAAACAATCATCGAGAAGTTAGATGGTGATGTTGATGGAGATTCCAACCCTATGACAGTTCCTTCCCCACTAGAGGATGTTATGACAGGGGAGGTGCTAATGATCACGTGCAACATATGCCAGAGATGGACAACACTGATGATGACGGTGATAATGTAGAAGCTGATGAAGATGAAGATCCAACTCCTCAAGAAGGTGAAGGCCTTAGCTTAGAAGGCCGGAGAGAATCCGTCGACCATCTACAAGGTATCCATCTACTGAATATATTTTAGTTACTAATGAGGGTCAGCGTGAGTGTTTTCAAGAGGCTCAATCTCATAGAGAGAAAGACCGTTGGATTCAGGCGATGCAAAAAGAGATGAATTCCTTGCATAAGAATGATAGCTATGAGTTGGTGAGACTTCCTAAAGGCAAAAGAGAGTTGCAAAATAAGTGGTCTTCAAATTTGAAGAAAGATGGAGCAAAAACGCTGAAGTACAAAGCGCGGTTGATTGTTAAATGTTTTCGATAGAAGAAAGGAGTTGACTTTAACGAAATTTTCTCTCCATTTGTGAAGATGACGTCTATCAGGACACTTTTGGGTCTTGCAACAAGCCAAGATCTCGAGTTAGAGCAACTCAATGTGAAGAATGCATTCCTCCATGATGATTTAGAGGAGGTGATTTACATGATGCAATTAGAGGGATGCAAAGTTAAAGGCAAGGACGATATGATCTGCAAGCTAAAGAAGATTCTTTGCGAGCTCAAACGGCACCACGACAATGATACAAAAAGTTAGACTCATTTATGGTGGTTCATGGGCATATGCGTATAGTTGTAGATTCATGTGTCTATATCCGAAAGTTCTCTGAAGGTAACTTCATCGTTCTTTTATTTTATGTTGGCGATATGCTCATAGTTGGACAGAGTGCAAAGATGATTCGAACGTTAAGGGAGAAATTATCTAAGTCTTTTGACATGAAGGATTTGGGGTCAGCATGCTAGATCATGCAGATTATTCAAGATAGGAAAACAAAGAAGGTATGGTCGTCTCAAGAAAAATATGTTGAATGGGTGCATGAATGATTCAACATGAAAGGTACTAAGCTTGATAGCACGCTTCTCGCAAATTACTTTCATCTTAACAAGAGAGATTGTCCAACTACTGAAGAAGTAAAGAAAGTAATGGTGAATGTTCCATACTCCTCTGCGGTTGGAAGTCCGATGTATGCTATAGTAATGCACATAGTCGGACATTGCTCATGTAGTTGGTGTTATGAGCAGATATATGTCAAACCCTAGAAGAGAACATTGGAAAGCAGTGAAGTGGATTCTCAGATACTTGAAGGGCAGTTCAAGGTTGTGCTTGGTATTTAGCAGTTTCAAACCAATTCTGGAAGGCTATATAGATGCAGATATGACATGTAATTTCAATAACAATAAATCTACATCTGGATATTTATTTACTTTTGCAAGGGGGAGCTATATCTTAACAGTCCAAGCTGTAAAAGTGTGTTTCTTTATCTATAACAGATGTAGAGTACATCGCAGCTACAGAAGTGGGTAAAGAAATGTTGTGGATGATAAGATTTCTCTAGGAATTGAGTTTGAAGCAAGTTGAGTGCATTGTACATTGTGACAGCCAAATCGCTATTGATTTTAGTAAAAACTATATGTACCATTCTCGTACGAAGCACATTGACGTGAGATACCATTGGTTACGAGCTGTAACAGAAGAGAAGCAAATGCTACTACAAAAGATCCATGTTGACAGGAACCCAACCGACATGATGACGAAGGTAGTTCCTAGAGATAAGTTTAACCTTTGCGTAAAGCTCGCTGAGATGGACCTCTCTAAATAGTCAAAACGGAAGAATTGTTGTGGGTCCCGTCCCGCCTCTTTTGAAAGTCAAAAGGGGAGGTAGTGATAAGTGGGTCTCACCACTTTTTTTATGGACACAAAACGAACGAAAGGTAGGTCGGGACGATGCACCTTGTTTGAAAAATGAGGCTGTCTTGAGGCTATAAATAGCCCTCAATTCAGAATTAGAGAGCAAGTCGAGAGAGCAAGAACAGGCAGATCAACTCAAGTCATAGAGAACTTGAGTGAGTGAAAGAGAGAAGTTGTGTTCCTTCTCCGGAGTAGAAGTCCTGCTGTTAATGTCCTGTTTATGTGACTCGGTCTACTCTGAGGCCAAATGCGTCTGAGAAGAAAATTGTGTTATGACTGCATTATGATTT